TGCTATTGGCGACACGGCACGCTTGGTTGTTACTGGGGTCGCCGCTTGTCCACGCGTATGTGCGTGATTGCACTGAAAGGCCGCGTGTTCGAAGCAAAAATAGAGAAAAAGTGCTCAAGGTCACCAGGCACGCGGGACGTTTTTCCTTTCCCTGTGCCCCTGCTCCCTGCTTAGCTTCCAGCTTTTTTGTCGGAACCAGAAGAGTGAATGCAATTGCAGTGTGTGACAAATCTTTGGGGCCCCGCTTATACTAGACTAATTCTAAAAAATTTGGTGGTGAATTCGTATAGCCAATAGGCTTCTTTAGTGGCTCCATTGCTACTTAAAAAAGTGTTGCAGGGCCCCTATAAATGAGCGTGTTTACCCTCAAATCAATTCATCATTTTATTAGGCTTAAAAGCTTGTTGTTGATGGTTTACAGATTATCACCAGCCTCCTACCGAAACTCAAATCCCATTACTACTCAAGGTTGTTTGGACTTCCTTTGAATGAAAAAATATGAAATTTGCATAGAACCCCTATTTAAATAAAAAAAAATATTGTGCACGTTAGTTAGGTTCTATTCCCATTCCCATTTATTCTCATTTTTCTTGTATGTGATACATACCACACTCAAACCTCGTTATAACGTTACGGGTTATAATGAAGTAAATGGAATTCCCCTTGAAAGCTCTATTGAGAACCATTCATTTTATTGACCAGTAAATTAAAATTTATTTTATTGACCATTAAACTAAAATTTACCAGTAAATGGATATAGCAAACTAAATTAGTCTATCAAATAGTGTATAAAAAAATTATAGTCGTAGTGTGTTAAAGGGGTCGTGAAACGGTCGCTTAACAACGACAATGCGACACCATCGGCAGCCACATACGCTAACTATATCGTCAGCCTTAGTGCATTTGCATAGACGCTTTGCCTATCGAGGAACGCGGAACTACAGTCGAGTCCACATATAACGGCCCCACTTAAAACGAACTTTCGCTTAAGACGAACAATATCCGCGTGACCATCAAAATATACATTGCTTCAATGGCACAAAATCGCACTTACAACGAACGTCTCCGAGCGCCGCTGATCGGCTACAGCGAACGGAGTCAGCGGTCTGCCGATTTCCCTGGAAACCGATTGCTACCACCGATCAGGCATCGGCGAAGTGCCCATACATTCTTATTGTTAAACGCCGACCCTGCCTCCGCGACCCTCTAGTTGCCGCTCTCCCCAACCCATGGATGAAGGAAAGCTGTTTCCTTCCTCCATGTCCCGACTGCTTTTTGTTACGCACCCCTCCGTCCTTTGTCCCCCCGGCTACTTTGAGCACTCCGCATCGCCACCGCTATTTCGAAGACTGGTTGGCCATCTACCCTGTTTTTGATCGCTGGCACTGTCGTTGGCGTGGCCGGCATGGAGTGACCAGACCATTTACGAACATCGTCGGCTACCGACTGTATACAATATTCGGCGTCATGTGCACGCGCGTACGCTACCCCACCAACTCTAATAATTTGCGATTCTTTCGTGTTTAGGTCTTGTTCTCGCTCATTTCGCCCTCGACTCAGCATGCCTTCCACGCGTGTGTGGAAGCGCGAAATCGGCTGTTAATTTGCACGGAACGAATCACGAAATATAGAAGTTCGTGAGGCCACGCAAACCCGCAGGCGCAACAAAACTATTTTTGACCACGGCCTCCGATTATTCGAACACCGCCGCGCGCACCAATCCAGGCGGCCATGCTTTGACTTCTGCGTGTTCAGGCATTCTTTCCAAGTATTTCTACGTGCGAGTTTTGTGGACCTTTCAAGCAAGCCACCCAACGTGCTTCCTTCCCGTGTGTTTTGGTTTTCAAGGTCGCCCTCTTGCCGCATCCTCCCCCTCTTTATCGCAACTCCTTGCACTTCTCTCGCAAGTCTGCTCTGCTCTTTTCCCCGCAGGGGCGCCTGCGCAAGTAGGCGTTTGTTGTGTAGCGACACCACGGACCCGAGCTAACGGGGGAGTTTCTACTCCCTCCCACGCCTAGCCGTGCGTGGCTTTGCCGTGTCCCGGGGAAAAAGGGGATACTGGGGGTTGAGCCTTGAGCGACGCTGGGTGATTGGACTGTTAAGGCCCCCCGGCAGAGGCAACACACCCCTTTGGCCCCGGCTTCACGTAGACGGCACCCCTGGGCAGACCCACCCAGGGGAAATCAGCAGTCGCCTTTCCTATCTCTCTCTCCCTACATCTTCGTCTTTATCTCTTACAATTTATCTGTCCTGTCTTCTATTCTCTTCTGTTTACTTCCAAACTTCCTGGCGGCTAGGGTTAACCCTGTGCAAATAGCCTACCTTGGTCTAGGCGCATTGGGTTATAGTGGCGTTGTACGGCTGGCGTCTGCAGATTTCAGCATCCGCAAACTTGTAGTGTCCCCTCGTTGGGCTCCGTGTTGGGTGGCCGCCAACGCTGCTGAACAAAAATAAGACAGGCATGCATAGAGCATTCCCCCTACTGTCTGATCGTACCGGCTTAAAGCGGGTACGCACCGGTGATATAAATTTTTTCAATCAGCCAAAAGAAACATATCCTCACTTTCATGTTATCCACTGTGAAAAAACTGAAAAGCTAGCCAGGACCGTCTCTCCTTTCGTTGTTGCTAGATGTCTTACCGAAACTCTTGGCACAGGATACAAGGTAACCAAAATGGCTAGCGGAGACCTTCTCCTCGAAATCCGTGACAAAGAACAATTTGAAAAGCTAGACCGTCTTTCCCCCGCAGGGGTGCCTGCGCACGTAGGCGTTTGGTCACGGACCCGAGCTAATGGGGGAGTTTCTACTCCCTCCCACGCCTAGCCGTGCGTGGCTTTGCCGTGTCCGGGGAAAAGGGGATCCTGGGGGTTGAGCCGACGCTGGGTGATTGGACCAGGCCCCCCGGCAGAGGCAACACACCCCTTTGGCCCCAGCTTCACATAGACGGCACCCCTGGGCTGACCCACCCAAGGGAAATCGGCAGTCGCCTTTTCCTATCTCTCTCTCCCTACATCTTCGTCTTTTGTTCTCACTTTACATCTTTCCTGTCTTCTCCTCACTTCATTTTACTTCCAATTTTTCCTGGCGGCAAAGGTTAACCTGGTGTAAATATCCAAACTTGGATAGATATATTAGGTTATGGCAGTGGCGTACTACTGGCGTTGTGCAGAAATGTTTACATGTTCTGCCACGTCCCCTTGTTGGGCTCTGTGGTGGGTGGTAGGCGCCATTACTGAAGGAACTGCACTTTTCTATGGGATCACGAAACCCCTTATCCATTGATCGCCCTTTCCAAAGGGAGTGCACCGAAGCAAATGTAATGCCGATTTCGGAAAAACAAGACCATTTCCCTAAGTACCACGTTATTCATTGCGAAAATTCGGACAAAAAAGCTCGCAACATCTCCCCATTCCTCGTGTCCAGGTGCCTAACCGAGACTATCGGAACTGGCTATAAGGCTACAAAGATGGCAAGCGGAGACTTGCTGGTAGAAGTTAAAGACAAGACACAGTTTCAGAAACTAGAAAAATTAGTAGCATTTGGGGACAAGCCCGTAACCGTCTCTGCGCACTGAACGATGAACACTGTCAAAGGCGTTGTGTCAGACGATGACCTAAAAGACCTAACAAATGATGAGCTTCTGGCTGGCTGGAAGGACGAAAATGTCATTCACGTACAGCGTATCGGGCAGCTCACCTGTGCACGGTGTGGTATCACAGGCCACTCTGCAGATGATGACTGCAAGGCCGAACTCAACTGTGCGAACTGCGATGGAGAACACGCGGCGTATTCTAGATCCTGCACAGCATGGAAAAAAGAAAAAGAAATTATTACCATCAAAGTCACTCACAACATCAGTTTCCGCGAAGCAAGGCATCGGGTCTCCCCTTTCTATGCAACAAAATCATTTCCTGAGGTGATGCAACAGGGGGCAGCACCACGACAGCATCAGGTGGCCGCCCAAGCTACGCACAGCGTGCTGGAGCGACCGCCGCTTGCCCCTACTGCGGGAGCAGCCAAGGCTGCTCCGGCCTCAGTCAACAAGGCCCCACCATGGGCGTCGACATGCATTGGCGGCACGAGCCAGGGCAACGGGCAGACTGCGGAAACCCTGTCGACGTCCGGTGTAGAGGGTTTGAAGGCTTCGTATCTTGAGCCGAAGCCCACAACGCCCAGGGATCGCTCGGCAGAGCGACGGTCCAACGCTTCTCATGAAGCTATAGACACAACCGCCAGTCAAACGGCGCCTGCAGCGCCGAAGGAGCGGCGAGTTTCTCTCGACCAGTTCAAAAAAGACAAAAGACAAATTACAGGGCCTCCAAAAAGCCCTGTAAAATAAGTTTCGTTTTCCATAACCTGAAAGGTTATGGTACCATTCTGTTTTGTCCGTGAGCTTACTTTCCATCCTTGAGCACACAGCACAAAACACATCTAAAATGGACACACAAATACTACAGTGGAATGCCAAAGGCCTGTTTAAGAACCTAGATGATATCAAAGACTTGCTTAATGACTATCAGCCAAAAGTGTTCTGTGTTCAAGAAACTCATTTAAGGGGAGACGCTACTCGATAACACTTTTTCTTTAGTTTTCAAGTTAGGGTTTCCAAAATTTAGCCACAGAGATATTTTTTCTTGTAGATTCCAAAACTGTTATCAGATTTTGTGTAGCCTCATTACTTTTAAAGTTATTATACATGCAATAACAAAACAAAGGGATTTTTACTCTCGCTTTTTCGACATCAAAACTTTTGTGTAGATGTTTGTGTAATAGCTTATTATGCTTGTCATGAACTACTGTGTGCATTTAAGAGGTTAAAATTACGAGAAAAAAAAGCTGTTACTACAAAAAATGAACAGATCTGCCAAACTTCTTTGTTTCAGGGTTCCTTGTATCATTTCTTGTATGTTTTTATTGATAATGGCTATGCATCATAAATCAGAATAGATAACGGCACTCTACACACCTTGAAGAATGTGTGTGCCAAGTTTCATCGCAATAGGACAATTTTAAGGGGATGAAACTATGTGAGTGAAATGTGACCGTGGCCAAAAATTTCAAAATGAGAAAAACGCGTTTGAAAGTTTGGAACATGTTTACTAATTAGGGCGCACTTGCAAACACTCAAAAGTGTGTCTAATGCACAGGCAGTATGTCCAGGAGCTGGCCACGGTGACTAGAATTCACCCGCACTGTATGTAACTCCTTCGCGGTCCTTCCGAGCGGAGTCCTGTAGGCGAGCTCTCTTGGCCGATGTGCGGCGGTGAGCCCTCGCCTCAGCAGTCTGTTGGGCATTCATCTTCTGAATGCGCCTCTTGTCGCTGTAGTCCCCCAGGGTGGTCAAGCTTGCTGGTGGTAGAACACCAAGCTCCTCCAGGACCACCTCGAAGCTTGCATGGCCCCGGTTATACCAGAGCACAGCAATGGCTGTGGCAGTCTCCACAGCACTTCGGGAAGCAAACTTTGTTTTAGGGCACAGCAGCCACACCTTGCTGTTGAGAGACTCAGCAGCGTTCTGAGTTTTTCCTCGAAGGCATCGGGCCAGCAGCTTCTCGTCAGAAGGCGCTTGTATATGGGCAGCAGTGCCCGGCCCTGTGCCTTTGTCAGAAGCGGTGTATGCTGTGGTGCAGGCTCGCCCATTGCTTCAGCACGCTTGTGCTTGCACCACGATTCTTGGCCTGGTGGGCAGAAGTTGTGGCTGCCAGCACCATCAGTGGAGCAAGAATGAAAGTAGGACGCCCATATGGCAGTGTACATGTCCCGTAGGTTGCCTCTATTGCCCGTGATGGCGATCTGATAATATGTCTGCAGCTTTTCAATGGTGGCAGGCTTGAGCTTCTCACCTCTGGGCAGTGGTGTCGGCAATTTGCGTATGCCAGTGCCTAGGCGCTTCGCAACATGATTAGTGCAGTCCTCCTTGCAGATGGCACCTGCACCGTACACCTTGGCATCACAAACTCTGCTATATGCTTTGCTGTCGCCATCACTAAGAAATGTTGCGAAGCGAAGTGGAGTCTCATACAGCAAAGTGCGCTCCCATATCCGTAGTGCTGCTTCAGCTTCCATGCCATGAGCGGAGCTGTCGGTGTTCTTCTCACAGACAGGTCTGTGGTAGGCCTGCCAGATTTCCTCTTCAGAGCCCATGTCGTTGTGTAGACTGCAAGCGTGGCAGTAATTTGACAGCACTTCGAAATCTAAGCACAGGCCGGTGTCCAAGGAGATAGCCGCGCCGACTCCGTTGTGGCTTTTATGGCCCCGTTTCTGCCAAGTTCCATCATACATTACGGCCACGTCACTACTACCAACCACCTGCTTTGTTACGGCTCTTGCCTGGTTCAAATTTCGGTCACGGCCCTCATAGCAGCATCGTGAACCTTCTTGCTGATTGCCTGGAAGGTTTTGTGGTGCATGGGCTTCGCTAGTCCAACAATCGCACAAAACCGCGAAAGCTGGTCATGTCCGATGCCTATGGCACGCGAGGCTACAACAGCTTTCACATTAGCAGCGAAGCTATCGCGCGAGCTGCCGTTGCCGTAGTGTCCCACCTCCGCGCAGTCGTCAGATGCTGCGGCGGCTTCGCTGGAGGCAACACGCCTCGACGTATGTGTCGAAGAGAGAACACCAGACGCGCACTCACTGTTCTCACACCGCAACTCGAGACAGGACGACAGTCCTTTGCGCCGTTCTGCCACCTCGCGAACAACAAGTTTGTGTTCACGGCAAGACGGGCACTCCGCTCCCCCCACAAGTGCCGTCATCGCATCGATGTCGCACAGCACTGCTGATGATACGCCATCATGCGCACGCCTTTGGTTCTTTCAAAAAACTCCAGTTTTTTTTGTGAGGCGCTGACGAAGTTTGCGGCAGCGTCGAGGCCGCCGGCGAAGTCACTGTCGCGATAGTTGCCGACGCTGGGGTTAGGCCTAGACCTCTCCGGCCCGTTCACCTTTGCCGCAGTCTGACGACGCACTTTACGACGTTTTCCCACATACTTATTTATCGTCCGGTACTTTTTCACCTTGTACACCTGCTTTTTGGCAGGATTCATCGCGTAACTAATTGAATAAATCCTTGCGAAGTTCAGCTTGCGATGCAGAGCGGGGCCGAAGGGACAAGCGGGCACTGCTCTAGCCAATGGCGCGCTCGCTACGGCACCACGTGACGCGCCGCGCGATTCAAACGGCACGCAGGGGCGTTCAAAAAAAGATTTTTTATAGTATTTTTTTCTCTCCGGACGAGACTTTTCGAGCCTGTGTTCGAGAGAGCATGGACAACTCTAACCACCTCAGTGATTACAAATGGCGCACGGTGCCGCTGCCTCGAGATACCGGGGCCGGCAAAACGTCGATTTCGGCAGATTTCAGCGATTTTCTAGGTCTCCGGGGCTTACTTGAGCGCATTTTTCAGTAACTTCTGACACGAATTACCGATTGAAATTTATTTCTGGTAAACATGAATGTTTAAAGAATCTAATACGACTGAAAACAAAAAAGTGAAAATTTCCGGAAAAAACGCGATTTTTCGACCCGCGTCTCCCCTTAATGTCGACTCGTGTGAATTTCTTAAATCAATATGTGGTTTTTCGTAAAGATCGAAATGGTGGCAATTTCTCTTCTGGAGGTGTGGCCATCATTGCACAAAGAAGCGTAGCATGCCAGCACATTGTGCTACAAAGCTCTCCTGAGGTTGTGGCTGTTCGCGCTATTCTATTCAACCGTCTTATATCTATTTGCTCGATCTACATAGCCCCTGACGAACCATTCAATAAAACAGAGTTCGAAAAGCTTATTGATCAGCTTCCAGAACCATATGTGTTAATTGGAGATTTTAATGCTCACAGTTTGCTATGGGGTGATACCAAATGTGATGCGAGAGGTCGTGCAATAGAAAACTTTCTTCTCGCATCTGGAGCCTGTCTGCTCAATAAGGCAGAGCCAACATACTTCAGTACCACACACAATACATATTCATGCATAGATTTAGCCATTGGGTCACCGTCACTCCTACTTTACTTAGATTGGAAAGTTATTAATAATCCATTCGGAAGTGACCATTTTCCAACTCTTTTAGTAACAAAACAACGGGATGACCGGCCGTCTTATCCTAAAAAGTGGGACTTTCATGTTGCAAACTGGGGGAAATTCAGAGAGCTATGTACACTACACCTCGAAGAGGTAGACTATTTGGAAGTAGAAGAGATGGCCAACTATATTTCTGAATATGTTCTTACTTGTGCAAAAAAGTGCATATCGCAGTCCAGGAATGATAAAGTTAACACAAAGCCATGGTGGAATCGGGAGTGTGAAATTGCTAAAAAACGGCAAAACAAAGCATGGAGGACTTTTTCTCGCTACCTAACAGCAGAAAACTTGATAACCGTTAAAAGTTGCAAAGCGAATGGCAGGCGTGTTCGTCGTATAGCCAAACGGGAAAGCTGGACACGCTATATATCCTCAATAAACTCCTACACAGACGTCAGCAAGCTTTATAATAGGGTGCATAAACTTAAAGGACAAGGCCCAATTCCCTTCCCTTTGGTGAATGACTGCGGTGATACAATATAACAGGCAAACGCTCTTGGCGAACACTTCGAGAAAATGTCAAGCACGGAAAACTATACCCCTAAGTTCTTATGCCACAAAAGCATAGCTGAAAGTGTACCTCTGTGCCGGAACAAGCCTGTATCAGACGAATACAATAAACCACCAACAATATATGAACTGAAGCTTGCCCTTGGTTCCTGTGGAAGTTCTGCTCCTGGTTCTGATACAATTACTTATGAAATGATCAGAAATCTCCCTGATGAAACCCTGAACTGCCTTTTAGCACTTTACAACAAGATTTTCAATACCGGCAAAATACCCTCTGCTTGGAAAGATGCAATACAGTCGACTCCCGGTAATTCGAAGTCGCTTAATTGGAAGTTTCGGTTAATTAGAAATGAGCAAGTGGTCCCATCAGTTTTACATGCAACCGTATAGAAAAAAATGCTCGATAATTCGAAGTTAAAAACCCATAATATTGGTTAATTAGAAGTTTTTTTAATCGACAGTCTCGTCGCGACCGTAATTTTTCCAGTAAAATGGGGAACTTTTCATATGCCAAAACATCTGCCGGACCGCGCTGGTGTCTTCGCCATCACTACTGTCCGCAGCACCACAAATCTTGAAGCGGCAATCTTTTTAACGCTGGCGAATCGCATCGGCGGCATCGACTGACTCTTTAGTTGACTTCTGTCGAGACTCGAGTGTGTTTCCGCGCTTCTGATTTTGAGTGTTGTGATGGTGACGTACGTTTGATAATGGCAACTCGTGGCCCTTACCGAACGCTAGACCTAGCGACGAAAGTCGGTCTTGAAGGAAGTTGACCAGGGAGGCACCGCCAAACAAGACATTGCAAGAAAGTACGGCATTAAGCCTAACACGCTGTCGACTTTCATAAAGAATAAGCGCTCAATATTAGATGCGTTTGAAAGTGAAAAATTCAAGACATCGCGAAAGCGGATGCGCACCGGCGCCTACCCCGAGTTGTAGGAAGCACTGCTGATTTGGATCAGAGAGGCACGAAACAACAAACTTCCTCTCAGTGGTGAAGTCGTCACGGCAAAAGCGTCATCGCTTGCTGAAATGTTGGGCATCAACGACTTCGCTGCTTCGGATGGGTGGCTTAAGCGTTTCAAACATCTCCACGACTTGATTTTTAAAAGCGTGTGTGGGGACAAGGCGTCAGTCGATGAGGAAACGTGCCTGACATGGAAAGCGGGCAAGCTTCGCGAGTACCTCGAAGAATACCAGCCGGCAGACATTTTTAATGCAGACGAGACTGCGCTTTTTTATCGGCTGCTACCGGACAAGACCCTGACATTTAAAGACGACGACTGTTCTGGAGGCAAAAGAAGCAAAGAGAGAGGGTCAGTGCTAGTCGCGGCGAACATGACTGGCACAAAACGGTGTCGCCTGCTTGTGATCGGGAAGGCTGCCAAGCCTAGGTGCTTTAAAGGCGTGAAGACGCTTCCTGTGGATTATGCCTCGAACAGAAAGGCGTGGATGACATCCGATATATTTAAGGACTGGATCACCAAACTCGACCGCAAGTTCGCGCAATCAAGCCGTAAGGTGTTGTTCCTTGTGGACCAATGTAGTGCCCACATGAACGTACCTGCCTTGAGTGCCATCCGTCTTGTGTACCTGCCTGCAAACACGACGTCCGTGTTGCAGCCCATGCACCAGGGCATAATAAAAAATGTGAAGGTATTGTATAGGCAGCATCTCGTCGAGCGCATGCTTTTGTGCATGGACAACTCGTCGCAATACGAGGTGAGTTTGCTTAGTGCCATCAACATGCTAGCGCGAGCTTGGACCCGCGTGAAAGAAGAAACCATCGCCAATTGTTTCCGGGCCTGTGGTTTCATGAAAAACTCGGGGGATGCTTCTCCTTGTGCGCCAGTGGAAGTGCAAACAAATGAGCTCGACGACGGTAGCTTTCGCGCCGCTCTTGGTGACGTCCGTTTTGACGAGTATGTCGCTGTGGACAGCAACGTCGAAACATGCGATCCACTAACGGACAGCGAAATCATGCAGATGGTTCGGCCCCATGACTGCATTCCTGAAAATGACGATGATGACGACGACATCGGAAATGAGCCACCACCGAGGGCTGCCGATGTAGCTGCGGGTCTTGCTCTTGCGCAGCGGTTTTTTGTTGGAGAATACAACGCCGAAGAAGCACTTCGACACGTGTATTCCTTACAAAACTTGCTAGCCGCAGCCAGATTCGGCAAGCAGAAGAAGATGACAGACTATTTTTCCTCAAAACTGTCACGCTTTTAAACTAATAAAAGTGCCGTTTTTAGTGCTTTTTGCTTAATTCGAAGTTCGTTTAATTCGAAGTTTTTTGCGGTTCCCGTGAACTTCGTATCAACGGGAGTCGACTGTAGTACTACCAATCTTTAAACAGGGCAAAGATCCCTCTTCGGTAAATAGTTACAGGCCTATCGCCCTCACAAGCTGCCTACTCAAAGTGTTTGAAAAAATGATTAACTGCCACTTCGTCTATTACTTGGAATACAACGGCATATTGGACCCGTGCCAGTCTGGTTTCCGTACAGCTAGATCCACAACCGACAATCTTGTCCTCCTGGAGTCGTATATACGTGACGCGTTTGTACACAATCAATACTGTCTGTCTGGAGGATATACGTGACGCGTTTGTACACAATCAATACTGTCTGTCTGTTCTGTTTGATCTTCAGAAGGCATATGATACTGCCTGGCGATACGGAATCCTGCAAGATCTA